AGACAATGAGAGGAAATTAGACAGTACTTGAATCAATATTTTAAGTGTCTGTATCCTTTGTTGGAAAGAACAAGACCTTATAATGGACTACGTGTGTTTATGGATTGCATACAGAAAATTTTAAATGTCTTTAAAAAATCTTTTACTTATCGGCTCTAATGATGTTGCATAAAAATTAAGTTTATTTTTAATAGTAATGAGAGCGGTCGAAATTGATCCCTCTTTCATTGAGATGTCATTTTCAAAGAATTTATTTATTATAGTGCGAAACGTATTCGTATCTGCTCAATTTTGGTGGAAACCTGTTACTTATCTTAGAGACGTTTTGAAATGTTGTATCGATGCAAAAGAAGAACATATCTTAAATATAATTATAAATAAATGCAATGTGTAATATCAGGCGACACTGGAATAACTTAAACAACTATCATAGCCTAAGTCCGTGAGCTATTGTTTTGTTAAATTTTATCAATATGACTGTAATTAAAGGTATTTTTTTAGTTTGAAGAAAACGTCGATCATCGTACATCATATGCAAACCTCGATGTTTTCAAAATTTGCCTAGAGCAAGATCCATTTAATGTGTTAAACGGCGTTACATTTGCTGATGGTCAAAGTAATAAAAGGAAAGTTCTACTCTTTGTTTCTGTAATTATGAAAAAAAAAATTTCCCTCGGGTTCGTCTCATCGGAAATGCGAAGGTTATTTGTCTAAAAATTTCACTGTCCTAATGCTTCCTGCATGTGAGTGGCCAGACAAAAAAGGCCGCCTTGTTTTCAAAAATTATCACGAAAATACAGTTGGCGTGTTCCCCATCTCAGAAACGCGCAAAATGTTGAGATTTCACGTTGTCAAGTTACCTACGAATTTTTAGTACGAATTAAAAGTACAAAGTTTTATGGTGTCTGCTCGAGGAACATGTTTTACTGAATAAAGATATTCAGGTCTCTTGGTTTTTTCGTCACCATGTATATTTCTTCCTCGCTTTTAACGAGTTCTTTAACCACAGAAAATGAACGGATAGGCGCCATTTTCAACTCTCCTCGGAGCCTAGCTAGAAAACAGTGTTGATTTGTTTTCGAAATGATTTCCCAACACAAGGCTATGAAGCACATAAACCAAGTCCAAATTTTCCTTAGCTTTTTTCCCACCAAAGTTTATTGCACCGGCGGACAATTTCCAGATTAACATCGTAAGGCCGAAGGTTTCGGCAGCCAAGCACTCAAACAAAGTCAGACATCCTCTCTTTGTCTTCGTCCTCGCAAGATTCGTCGCTTGAGTTTCCACTTGTGTTCCAAATCACCATAGTAAAGACACAGGTGATTAACCCAAAAATAAAGAACACAAATCCGAAAGCTATTAACACAACTGCCGTTTGTTGAGTAACATTCCAGCAAAATTCACTCGGAGCGTGTTCAACAGAGCAGGTTAACCCAAGAGTTATGTAGATTACTGCGGGGGTAAGAAACAAAATAACACATACAAAGAGACCACATAAACCAAGATCCACCATCGTTTTTCGAAATGAAATATCTCGTACGTGCCCTCTGTTTGCTGTTTTACATCAGCCGAGATGATTAAGATCTGTTACTTTCAGATAACATCGTATTAACAAGTAGTCTATACCTATATTATTGTGCAAATTTTTTTCTGTTAAATTCAGGGACTAAATTAATACACTGGCATTAAAAGGGAAATATTACTTGTTGATACAGGTGTTCAGTTTGAATGATTTCTCAATTTCATCATTGAAAACAGCGGTCAAGGGCAATAGCGTCCTTAGAGGAAAACATCAAAAAAGGAAAAAGATTAAGTTCTAAAGTTCAAGGGAAAATCCTCCCATGGAATCTATATTTTTAACTTTATTTTGTTAATTTGAGATGAACTCCGGATAAACTAATTCTTATTATTGTTTTACTTATGTTAATAGAAAGGGAAAATTTAAGAGTTAATCCTCTCCTGTTAGCAAGACAATGGAGACTACAATACAGCTGTATTTGTGAAATAATAATATCACTGAGCTCCTTTCTCCTTACGGCAGGCAGTATCACTAAATCCTTTGATTGAGATCGAATTGCTGGTTAACAAATCCAAAGCGATGGGGGAAGAGGGATGTAATGAGTCGCGATTTACATTCTCGTAGCGGTTGGAGTGGAAGCTTCTGTCAAAAGCGCTAAAATATTTGGTGCTAAAGAAGCTAAGCTGAAAAATTGTACGTCGACTTCCCATTAGATATTGAAGTAGCCGTATCTCAGGCTTTTGCATTCAGCGTTTCTGACAATTTACACAAAGTTAATATTTTTTTTCAATAGTCCATGTAATGTTGCTTAATCCCCTTTTTGCGATTTTGAATGAATGAAATACCACCCCCTCCTCCTGTGAATCACAAGTAGACTCAAAAGCTTTCAGGGCACATAAGATAGGGGATCAAACACGAATCTAACACAAACAGGAACCGCTGAAGTACGCCATTCTCTGCATGAAAGACAAGACGCGATTAATGTTCTACATCCGTCACTTCGCATTCTCTATTGTGAGAAAAAAAGAATAAAGTGCCGGAAAGCAGTCTCAGCAAAGACGGCACGTACGTGAATTTAAGGCACTGTTCCTGTTTTGAATAACAGTGTGCAAGGAAGCAAGGAAGCATTTCTGTTGACAACTTAAACCCTGTAGGCGCATAGCCGCTAGATATCGTAAGGATAGCCTTGGCTTCATTAGATGCACAGTAAATGATTTTTCAGCTTCCACAGTATTGTTGTTTCACTCATAACGACAGTGGAAGCTGTCACTGGCGTAAATTGATATTAGACCAAACTACAATACTGATTAAAGTAAAAGCGTACGGGCCCTTCTTTTTTATGACTGAAAAAATCTAAAAAAGCCTTCCATGTGAACGTGTCACACAAAAAATATTCGAAATTCGAATTCTCGGATGAATGCTCTCCCGATTTTTAACCTGTAATGGATACTTAGAAGATCGTTGTAAACAAGCGACACTATAAACAAAGAAAGACATTAATAACAAGCCAAAGCTGTGCCATCTTTCATTCTTGCTAAACAAAAATGATTCGAATATCGCGATTACTGCACTCTTCGTTATCGCTCACGGTTATCAAGTTTTTTTCTGTTTTTTATCAACAATAATGAAATTCAATCGCGTTTCGGGAAAATAAGGAAAACACATGTTATATTATCTTAAAACTCGAGTGCTCAATAAAACTCTTCCCTTTTTATTTCAAGCGATACTCTTCAAAACAAAATACTTGTATTAATAAACGATTTCTTTATACAGATTCAAATGAATATAGACCCTTCTAAGCTAAAACATAGAACAAAAGACACCTATCGTGATGATTCTGTTTGACAAGCGGAGATGAAGGAAGTCAAACGCCAAGTAGTAAAAAAGAGAACGTGTTGTTATTTTACATAGAGCTTCGAATAGCGTGATAAAGGATGACGAGGAAGAAAAACCACCGTAAATTTGACATGCGCGTGAGTGAGTGACATTTTGAACGTGGGAAGGAAAATAATATTCCATAAAATGTTATTGAGTCTCTTTCACTTCACTCTCCAGTCTATTTCTCTTTCAAGAGTGTAAAATGTTGAATGTAATATTTCATTATTCACCCACTTCGCCTCGAAAAATTCTTGACAAACTGGAACATAAAGTGTATGCATATGTGATAAGATCTTGAAATTCTGTTTCTTTTGGCATCAATATTCTGATTTCTAAAATAGATTAGTATAAAAAAAGGATCTTTCGTTACAACATTAGCTCTTATTTTTCCGTGAATTTTCGTTTTCAAGATTAAATCGTCTACTTGGATATCCATTTTGACCATTTTTTAAGTACAGTACTCGCATGAGTGGGCGATGCGAAAAATTTGCATATGTACATGAAATCTGGATGGGGAATAAAACATTCCTTCCAAATAACTTCCTCCGGGTGCCAAAGATGAGCAAGGAACCAAACAAGCAGAAACAATTGCAGCGAAATTATAATTTTACCATTTGTTCACCCAAATGCTTTTCAAATCAAATTGGTTGCAATCTCTTTCAGAACTCGACATATAAATATTATCAGCAATAAACTTTCAGTTATACCCTATTTTTTACTGACAACCATGTAAAAACTGATCCTTACATTTAAATAGAACAACAAGCAAAGCGAGTAGTTCTGCAGAATATGTGGCGGCACCTGGTGCTAACTGAAGATCGGCAAATTCCGAGTATTTTGGCAACTAAATACAATCTTCAGGAAAACGGGGACTTCCTAGGCTGGGAGAACTTTCTGTGACCTGCGCAATCTATTGCAGCATGGTCAATTCCATGGAGACAATTGCAATGCACAAAAGTGCTTTACCTTGCAGTTTGAACGTGCGTGCATGAACTAGGATTAGGTAACTCTTTTCAACTAGTTTCCTGGCTATTTTATTCAGGTCCCTTTAGATTAGAATTAATTATAACCATTGCAATTTTCTCAAATGTGATTGATGCATTAGCTGCTTTATTTCTCACTAATCATTCTGTGAAGTTGTAATCGGACAGTTGGCTGTAATCGGACACCTGCAGTCGGACAGTTGAAGCTGCCAAGCATACTAAGTTCACTCAGCTAAATCTACCAATCACAGAATTCATCACAATATCCATAACAACAAGCACTTATCCTAAAAAAAAGATGGTTTTCTCAGAATTTCCAAAATTTTTTACTTGGATATTGTCTCTACTGGAGGTATTTGACCTAAATCTGTCTGTAATCATAATCGTGATTGACAAATTGGACTCTACTCGCGCCTATTACCATCATTAATTGCGCTGGTGCACAAGCTTACCGCTGCCTAAAAAAAGCCACTTCAATCTAGTCTGACCTTTTTACTAGTCAAGTCTTGGATACTTCGAAAAATAAACCTGATAAACATAGAGTCACCACAATCGTACAACAGAAAGGCTTTGAAGACCGATGTGCCACAACACGGCTATAGATCAAGAAATCTAGTACTTTATGTAGAATGGTAATACATTCTCCGCTCCTGATGTTTCTGATGAGCGGTGAAGAAAGTAGTGTAAAACTCGCTCCAGCCCCCTGTACGAACGCGGATGAGATCATACTGCTCTGGGTTATTTTGGGCGTTGGCGAATGTTTCAGGATTGGCACAGGTCACTATGAAGAGAAACAACAAGTTGTTAGAGTTTTTATCGTATTAAATGCTCTCTGCTTGCACCAGGCGCTGGGGATAAATTTTTTTAAGTTTTCCTCTACCACACGAAGTCACCCATCCGTCAATGCCTATTACTTCCTCGACCATCACTTGTAAGATGCTGTTGTCTATTTTTTCAACTTACGGGGATCCCCCTTAGGATTAATTTCTGCTATGCAGTGCCCCCTAGATGAACATCTGTGTGCTTTCAGTCGAAGTTGACTTGTTATTGTTGGGCTAGTTAGTGCAATTGTAGTTTGTTTGTACGACTGAAAACAGTTGTGGCTTTGTTAGTTGTGATTTTCCGTACTTCAGGCAGAGGGTTCCCTTTGGCTTTGAATAGAGTCCCCTCTGTTCTGATATTTGTATTCACTCTGATCGACCATTACTGGCAACTCAATTGAAAAGTTTTTTTCTTTGAGAAAAAAAAAATAGATCGACGTTTTTGATAGTACTGACTTATTTAGTTATTCAACATAAGGACACTCGATTCAGTAAATGGTTTAAACCCGAGGGTAACATGTACTAGTGTAATTTGATCGTCCGGGTGAGTCTGGTCCTGAGAAGGACTGTTGTCGGTAGTGGTGACTGACATTTCGACAACCTGAGCGGAAGTCATTATCACAGACAAGTGAATAGTTGTTGTCAGTCGAATTTTCTAAGTCAGATATGTATGATGTGATTGCTGAACAACACCGACTTACGAACCACACTTTTGACTGGGACTCTGTCCAATGCCTAACCTACAGCACCAACTACTTTCAACGACCGACTCTGGAAAGCTAGTTCACTAACTTAGAACAGACTTCCTTCAACAGGTTTCAACCACTACCGGCACCATACAAACGACTCACTCACGACATAAACATCACAAAAGAACCGAGCAGAACGAGCTAACTTTACCAACAGATCGAGACGGACGAATCACGACCGACTCACACCACTTGAGTCTTACAGCTGATAACATCGCGGCAAAACTGACCAACCAGTTATACCGGAACTAGAACATTCGACTGACAGTTATTCACCTGACTCTGATGCTGACTTCCGCTCAGGTTGTCGAAATGTCAGTCATCACTACTGACAACAGTCCTTCTTAGGACTACACTCACCCATGCGATCAAACTACTCTATTACATATGTAGACTCGGGGAGCGAGTTTTATTCCTAATGTTTAACATGAATCACCTGTCAAAATGTTTCCTCCAATACCCTTTAGGTCGGCATAATTCCTTAAGAACTCAACCAGGTCACTCTCTTTAAAGTCTTCCATAATCTTCAAATCGATTTCTGCACCGTTTGCGAAGCCAACGTTTATAGAGAGCATATCCCAGCTTTTCAGTGATCTAAATAAAAATAAAGCGAAAGCCATGTACGTGAAGGAACGAAAGACAGGAAACGAAAAAGATCTTCTCCAACAAAATGTTTCAGTCGCACGACTCATACAGGTGCCATCTTACGGCGATTAAAAGTTCCTGTACCAAACGTTTGGTACAGGAACTTTGACATAGAACTGGATCATGTGGAGAAACATGCCGCGTTTTTGAAAAGAATGACACTTAAGATGGCTTAGGATGTTTAGTGCATGTGTAAAAGGATTGGCCACGAAACACTTTTTTTTACTGAATACCTCTTATTATGACCTACTTGTAGATACCAAAGCTCTTTGGTACTGGAGGCTTATCCAGAGGCGTGGGAGCAGCACTGAGATCGGAGGCTATGGGTGAGCCTGATCGCCGGCCATCAGCAGAAGCCCCACATCCTGCTCCCCAGCCAACGTATCCTTCAAATGTCCCTGATCCTGTGGGCAGCAGTACATCCCATGGTGCCCCAGGCACCGAGTACTTTTTTTTTAGGCTGTCAATCAACTCGACTAGGGGTTGATGAGCTTCCGGACTGGGGCGGGACACTTTATTCACAACTGTTGAGACTTGTTCTGCTAACCAGCTACAAAATGAGAGGATTTTCTCAGAAAACGAGAGTTGTAAGATGAGAGGCAACCTGTTCAATCCTAAAGCAACACTGATACACGATGTGTTCCTTTTGCCAAACAAAAAAATATATTCTGACACAATTTATAGTTCATTTCTTAAAGAGTTCGCACTAACTCGGAGGGAGATTGGTTCAATTTCCTTCTCGTGACATCCTCATAAATAAACGACATCCTCATAAATAAACATTGAGTGACACATTGACCATGACCAGTTGGTGGCAAAAAGACAACGACGGCATGATAGTTACTAATCAGTGAAGACGAAAAAAAATAAGGAAATAGTTTGTTTGTTTATCTCATATCATAATGCGCGACGACTAAACGCTCCTTAGGCGATTTTGGACGAACTTGCCTTATAAAATTGTAAAGTATAAACCAACTATAAAGTTAAGAAAGAACATCAAATTCAAATTACCTCGTGATTTCTTGGATGTCTTCGTTTTCCGCACCAGCACTGGTTCCAAATTTGGGCAAGTTAA